AAAATGCGTTTTGTATTACCACAAAAATTAACCACTTTTCACGTAAAGTATTGAAGTGTTAAAAATAATATATATCAAACGAACCATGTTTATAACTATGACGAAATTATATGAAATAAAATTTTATGCAAGAATGCCGGAAAGACGTTTCATTAAATAAAAGCATTTTAAAATCATAGCTAATGATAAATTACATTCAGAGATAGGTTTTTTAATGATGATGTATAATACAATTTAACGATTTGAATTACACATGTTTGTTTACAATGTGAACAAAGCATGTCATACTTGAAAATTCTGTGATATTTAAAACAGAAAGTAATTTCTTTTCCTTGTAGGACTTTTTTGTAATTAGTTTAAAACCTTTATATGCTCTATGAATTAACTAAGATATAACTACTTTTAGAAAATCAGATTTCTTCAGTTTATTAATAAGCTTCCAAAAAAGAGAAATTTATTTATTAACCTATTTGACATTTGAAAAAAACTTAATGTTTCCTTGAAATAAAATTAGGCAGATACCGTCTATCTTTATCTGTTTATGGTTTCTGTTAATTAACCTATATTGCATTATGTTTTTCTATTTTAGCATCAGTTGTACATTTTACCTGTTTCTTTATGGGAAACCCTATGATAGAAGAAATTTCTTTATTAACCTATTTGACATTTAAAAGAGCTTAATGTTTCCTTGAAATGAAATAAGGCACATACCATCTATCCTTATCTGTTTATGGTTTCTATTTACTAATCTATACTGCATTATGTGTTTTTCTATTTTAGCGTCAGTTGTAGCATTTTACCTGTTTCTTTACGGGAAACCCTATGAAAGAGGATTCTTTTGTGAGGACACATCTTTAAGTTATCCATCCATACCTGAGACTATTTCAACACCTGTTTTAATTGTTGTAGGATTAACAATTTCTTTATTACTGGTGAGTAAATGCTTTTTAAGTTAACAACAATCACTTGGGCAAATATTTTCCTCTCTTGCCAAAATTATATAATTTATAAATTTAGAATATACATACATAAATGTTAGCTGACTTGTCAATTTGATCAAGTTCTAGAACTGTTTTTATATTTCTATTAAGCATGTAATTTACAAATGAAATACATCATAAGCATCATTTAAATGATTGTATGCTTTCAACCTAAATAAAATTGGTATAAGTCCTCTTTTCTGAGATAAAATCATACAATTTATTTGTCTCTATCTTATGTTGTGTTATAGAATGTTATCTTTACAAAAAAGGAGCATTAGTTGTGAGTTAATTTCAACCCACATTTATATATTTCATCTAAAATGTTATTAATGGAAACGCCTTAATTTTGTTTGTAGGTAATAACTGTCGAGGTTTTGAATTATATTGATGTCAAATGCCAATCAAGATATCAATGTTCAGCCGATGTTATTTTTTGTGTGAAGAATTACATTGTGTTTATGATCGGGTTCCTTATACAAGAATTATTTGTTGACGCTATGAAAAACAAAATTGGTGCATTAAGACCAAACTTCTTCGATGTATGCAAACCACAGTTTAACACAACATTATGTCCAGGGTAAAGTCTTTTTTCATCTGCTTTTAAGGAATATTAGATTGTTGATTTTCACTGCCTTTATTTTTAACTCGTCTGTGATTATTATGTAGGTCAAAATATTGTACAATACGGCAGTGAACTGAAACTTTATTATTCTTATAAAAGTATGATGAATTATAGTATAGAAATTTATGTAAACATCAAAGCTGATTAAACTAGTATATTAGTATTTAATTTCCTGTAATGATTTAATTCAAGGACCAATTAATTCAAATTGGACCAACATTTAATATCAAATCAGAATAAATCGATACTTGCAAAAAATGGTTTTAAAAAATCACAATAACAATAATTAAAGTTTTAAAAATTACTTTGACAGATATATATCAGAATACGCATGCGCCGGAAGTGACAATACAGAAATCAGAAGCAGCCGACAATCCTTTCCTTCTGGACACTCGTCAGTAGCCATGTACATAGCTTTTTATTTTTCCGTAAGTTATAACATGCATGTTAAACATATTTAAATGATTTATTTTCTCGAATTGTCATGGAGGCTTTCAAGATGAAAACATTTTTTTAATAACTTAACATATATACATGCATTGCAACTTTATCTATAGAGATTAATAATTGTAGAACAAGTTAATCTAATAAGAGTTTAATCAAATTTCTGTATAAGACAATGCATTAAAACAATGCTATTAAATTATACATCAAGTATAGTGTTATCGAAACTTAATTTGTATTCTATCCTGCGACTTACATTTTTAGGGTTATTTGATACAGTTAATAAATGTTAAACACCGTTTCAGATGTATATAGAACACCGTTTAAACATACGATATACCAGATTGTTGAAGATCTTTATTCAATTTGGACTAATATTAGCTGCAATTCTATGTGGTTTGGGGCGTATTAGAGAAAACAAACATCATTCTTCAGATGTCATTGCAGGATTCATATTAGGCTTAGCGGTTGCAATATTTGTTGTAAGTATCATATTGATTGTGTGCACATACTTGCGATATGTATTGATATATATTATTTAATGGGATATTACTGCACTCAGCACAAGTTATTTAAATTCCAAAATTCACCTCTAAGCCCGTGCTCCTACAATTCTAGAAAAGCCAATTTATTACAAAATACAATGAGATGTAATTCATATCAAATACAGATATGTAAGATATAAACTGTTATACTTTTTGAAGACATTATCTTTTTAATTTGTTTATAAACAGCAGTATTCTAACTAAATCGTTTCAGACATGAAAATTCACTTCACGTTTATGTTGTTTTGAATTATGCAGTATAAAATGTTTGATAGTTTAGGATTTATTTTGTATTGCATTTGTATTTACAGCGTTACATTCAAGACATATATATTTTCAGACAATTTTTTTGGACAAAATGTATGTGCTAGTTTTGCGCTAATTATTCACAGCGTGGTATTTCAACGATAAATAACATATAAGACATATCCCTTCATTACAATTGTCTAATTGTGTGCCTACTATTCACACTGTTCATATTATATTATTGTTTTCTGAATTATCTTGAATTCACCCGTGTTACATTTCAGCATACTGTTCTGTGGAAGAAGTATGTGAGGGAATCAAGAGTCACAAATAACAACAATATAAACTCAAATTATAAATCAAGTGACTGTTTCGGTTCGTGTCAAAAATCAACTGACATCGATTCACAGACACCAGCCTCTGAACAAAATGAATACTTCCAAAGACTTGAAAATGGCAGAAATTCATCATCTACAAAACTTATAGAGCTTCAAAATGATGATAATCAAAATATATTAGTAACATCAGAAATACATGTATAATTAAAATTATAATGAATTATTACGTGCAATATTGTATTATGTATATATCAAACTATATATTTGCTAACTTTATAATAATACATGCTTTTATAAATTCAGAAGACAAGTGTTTATACAACGAATTTCTTATATAGTAAAGGAATAAATAAAGATACCATCAAAAGCCCACAATGATGTTTATTGAAAAATGGGTGAATGTGTAGAAGAAATAATATATTTAAGTTGTTCCTAGATTGCATACATATGCTGATATTGAAAATAGGCATTACTTTATAAAGTAATTATAATATTAATATGTTAAACATTTTATTATAATTTAACAAAAGTTCAAACATTTTCAGATTGCTTATTAAGCTTACCATTTTATCAATTCATGTTAAATGTTTAATTCTGCTTAAGACGGTGCTAGGGGCGTGAAGGATAGCTTGTAATTGGAATGTGAGTAAGACGAGAATCATTTCCGTTAAAAGCAGTGAAATCATTTCAAATACTTAGTACTTTTATTACTTATTTCAGTTTTAATGATGCGGTCTGATATAATTACAGTAAAAATTACTTGTATCTTATCTATTTGATTCAAATTTATGTCGCAAGAATTATTTCAAACAGCAATATTTCTTTACCATGTTTACTGGATATTGTACAATGCTAAATATTTAATTTACATATTTCAAAGTAAAATATAAAAATATTAAGACGTCTGATGAACGAGATTGGGTAAACATGTATTGGTGTCTTTTGTGAAAATATAATTTCCACAGTAGCAGTTTTAACGTATGTTTGTTATTACGAAAGTGTTCATTGCTCTTGCACCTGCGAAAATCTCAAGTTTGTATATTTTGAACATTTGCCTGCGTTAACGTCTATTGCTAAGCAATTAGTAAGAATTTATGAGTGAATTAAACACTTTCTTAAACATTTCCTCATTGTTTTACGGGAATTAATCAAGGAATCAGTCAAATATGTTAATGCTGTTTTTATTAGAAAGTTTAGCAAACAATTTAGAATACACACTTTTATAAATCAAAAATGCATATCTACTGACGGATCTGAATTTATAAAATTGACATAAAACTTTAGGCTTGTTGCTGGGTCATGTGGGGGTTGCCTTCATTGAACCTCGCTTCTTTGCTCATTACAGAGACAGATTATGTTGCAAATTGCTATGGCAATTTTATATTTGCTCATTAAAGCATCGGCATATAAACTTTATGATTTCGGGACATATTACTTCTTATAAACCAAACACGTAATAACTTAAGATATGTTGTCATTCTCCAAGTTCAGTAAAATGATTTAGACAACTTGACAGATAATCATTGTGCTAAGTCATAACAAAGCACTTGTATTTCTACAAAAAAGAAATACGCAGAAACAAACAAGTAACAGCTGATGTAGGTGGACTAGGTTTTGTCTGGCCATTCTTATTACATGTATTATAATTGCTCCATCTCATACTAAATGTGCAAATTATTTCCATTTAAGATGTTTCCTTTAACAACATTTAACACCCTTTTTCAAGGCTCTTGTTCAATAACGTATTTTCTATAGTAAAATAAAGATTGCCGTGTTTTCATATGTTTGGCACCTGCAAATTGTTTATAAATTCACATAAAACCAACAAAGAAAACTATCTCGCAAAACATACATCGTTAATTAGTCAGAAAGCCGTCATTACGATATGTTTATCTGTCTATTAGTGTTTTCTACTTCGTCTCATTCTACACTGATGCACACAGTTGGCAGCCTATTGTGACAGATGATTCTTGTATCTTCTCCAAATATCAGATATTTATCATCGGCGTTTAATGGTGTTTCATTGACTGGAAAAGAAAAGTTACAGCTGGTATTTAGCAACAACAGCTTAACTTGAAAACGATATACATATTTAATATATTAAACGTTAGAATACCCGATGAAAGTAGTTCCACCTAACATATATATTCCCATCTTCAGTTATAATGTTGCATATAAGATAGAAATTCGTAATTATATGCTTTCCATATGTGTGTGTACACTGCACATGTACGACAGTGTAACATGAATACGTACAATCTTGTAACTTTAATGTTTTCATTATCTTATGGTCATTAGTGCTCGCCAATTTTCTTAAGCCAATCACCGACGAGGATTTTTCAAATTTTCAGGTTTCAAATCATAATAGAACAGATTTTATATAAACTGGACGTTTTATATTATAAAACGCAAGTGGGCGGAGCTAAGTTTCGAAGAGCGCTAAAGTGAAATGTACGCATGTGCAGATATCTTGAAGTTTACTCCTACTAATCAATATTTATGCATCATGTTTTTTTCCGTACACGCACATGTATATCGTCACTACGGCATAGAATTAAAAAAAAGGTTCATTGAAATGAAAACAGGCAAAATAACAGTAAAAATGTTTTATTACTTACGGAACCAGTATCATTTTATAATTTCCAAATAAAAAGTTCACTTATTCCAACAAAGTATGTACTGCAGTATGTAATATTTTTTACTTTTTATGTAAATATTACAGCCCGTGCAGCTGCAAAACCGAAAGTTGGGTGTTTTTATTAATTTTACAATATACTGCCATTTGTCCGAAGATGATATGTATATGAACATAATAAATATGTATGATGCATATATAATAAAGCTACAGGTTCATTTCAGCCCGAAAAATATGTCGAGGTGACGGGCGAGGCAAGACAAGCTTATTGTGAAGTTGCAGTACATGAAAATCGGGCACATGACAAATCAGCACATAAATAAAATATTCTTGTGTTCCGTGGTATACATCTTTTCTACGTGTCATACCTCCTTTCCTTATTACAATGAATTTTTACTGCATTGTTATCCATCGCTGGTTTGTTTTTAGCAGAGAATGACCTGTGTATGTTCAAAGAGGGTACCGTTTGAGAATATTTCGCAAAGAGGGTACCGATATGGATATGCACCGTGATATTGTCTGATTTACCTAGACAGAATGCGGGCATAAGCTATGCAAAACACGTGACCCGAAAACGTGTACCGCTACCTCTTCCAAATATGGTTATACACATTTAGGCTATCGTGTGACGTCACGCAGTGTGTTGGGCGGAAAAAAATTGGCGGAGCACTAAGCCGGTTATAGTGCATATTGGATGTTCTTCGTAAATAAGAAAGCTACAGTCGCTTCGCAAGCTCCTCTCCTTTTTAGCTTTCTTATTTACGAAGAACACCCAATATGCGCTCTAACCTATACTTGTTTGGCTGTTTCTTTTATGATGTTGGCTTGGTCCTTCATGTCCTTATCGCGTTCTTGTGTAAAAGCTTAAAATTGTTTCTCTAGTGCTTCCACTACGGTTTTCCACAGATATCAGCTTAAAGTAATTCTTATTATGAATTATTTTATCCGAATGTCTTTCTGTTATCACAAACAAGTTTTTGTTAGTACATAATCAGAATTAAGTATAGTGATGATAAATGGAAAGCGTTATTCACAAAAAGCGGCTTTCTACAATAAACAGCTATATCGATCCACAAAAAGATACTCTGTAAGACACCGGACATACATCAGGTAATTAAAACGGAGAGAGGCAATTAATAAAGTATGGACATTATGATCACATAAACCTATATTCGTCTTTCAGTCACAGAGGAGAAACTACACGATGCTTATATTCTGTATATTTGTTTTCTGTTCTTAAAGTTTCTCCAAATTTTAGCTATTTGCCAAGTAATAAATAATGATATACATGAGCACCCCCGCTATCAAACATTTAAAAGAAGATACCCTTTGTTATCAAATAGAAATTTGGTTAAATGCTGGTGTATATGTAAAGTTTTCTAAAATCAGATCTTCCTAGAATCTACTAAGGCAAATTATGCTTCATTTTTATTACTCAAAAACTTTGTTGCGTCGGAAAAAGCATGGAGATAAATAATATGGAAAAAACACAAGGTCCAACACATGATGAATGACGAACAATTCGTAGTGTAAATATGTTATTACACATTGTAGCATTTGGATTAAATTTGAATATTTATATTTTACATCCTTATCACATTTACAAGTTAGATTACACTAAAGTGTTGATTGACCGGGGCATTATAATATGTGTTCATGAAAAATGCAATGAATGGCATATATGGAGTGAAACATACTTTAACACTTGAAAAATATAATAAAATCAAAATTGGTAAAATTTGACATTGTTTTTACATTGATATATATGTAATGCAGGAAAGTGTAACATTGCATTTCATAAATTTCAACACTATGTTTTAAGCACAATTTAACAAAAATAAGTTACATAAAAGTGCCAAATTATTTTGAGACTGATTGAATACTATTTGAAAATTCAACACTATCGATGCTTGTGTGTTATAAGATATATTGCATATTAATTTTTTTATTTAATGTTGATCATAAAGAAGACGAGTGCTTTATTAATACTTCTTACGTGTGTTAAAATTTTATTCAAAGAAATCAATACTAGGTTACATTTTAACAAACTGAAACTTCCTTATTTAACAAAAACATTACAATTCAATAAGTAAAATATGATAACGAATATATGTATACTTCTTTAAGTATCTATGTTAATCATTTGAAAGTCTTGTCCGTCATGGAAATCGGGCGGTCTTAACAACATTATGTTTCTTAGAAAAACGGTTTTGAAAAACTTCTTTTAATCTAAAGATTTACATCTATAAATGCCAACATAAATAAGAAATAAAATATGTAGTATGATTTATTAAGAAAGTTGTATGTTGTAATATTTTTCATGATGAATTTAAAGATTAAAAAATATTATAAATAACACTCGATTATCATGCCTATCAAATATTAAGTAGTAATTTTTATCTATCCAAATAGTTTTCTGACAAAATTCGTATGTTATCACATATGATCACTGACTGTTTTGTCACGTTTCTGACAGGAACTTCAACTGGGATTAAATATTCATAGACGTCTGAGCAAGTTATTTCACATTATGAAGAATCATATACGTAACCCTAGTCATGAACAAATCTAAAATATACTTACAAAGTCATTGGCAAGCCAAAATTATATAGCATGTATTAAGCAAACTATTTCCAACGTCTAAACAAAATAAATATTTGACAAATGTTGGAATGAACGCATGATTAATTAATCGGTTTTTTGTCCAAATGAACTAAATGCCTAACATCTTAAAGGCTACTCTAAGTTCAATGTTTACAAATGAATACAACCAATGGGAAATGTGTTAGTTATGTCACATGCAACATGCCTTGAACCAAAACATAACAGATTTATCTTCAAAGTTGGTAAAACATTTTGTCATTATATTTTGAACTGAACATTCAATTTCTTTTTGAACTAAACGCTTTTTCTAGACTGATATACATTTTTTACCTGGTTTCATAGAAGA